TAATTGCCATATTTTAACTACAATTTATTTATTTTCAAATAGATTTGATGAGATCAAGATAATACAAATTTTATTAATTTATTTGTCATATACTTTTTGTTATCATTAAAATGAATATTATGATTCTGTATCATCCAAAACTTTCTTAGAATTTTTAGATTATTCTCTGGATAATTGAAACACTTCTTAGAAGTAAGAACGAGAATCAGATTTTAATTTTTACCGAATAGCTTGAAACTTTTTCTCTTTATGTGCTTTACGTTTATAAAGCTGCGATGGTTTGAAATTATTTTGAGAATAGATTTTAGTCGAATTTTTTAAAAAATTTTAACTTATTGTATATAAAATTAAAAGTTTTTAAAAATTTGTTTTTTGTTTCAATTTTTATATCTCACTTTTATAGATTAAGCAAAATCTACCAATCAAGGGCATTGGGTGTTTGGTTAACTTTTTTAAATCATCCATTTTTTTTATTAGGCAAATAGATATTGTATATATTGTACTTTATATTTTATTAAATAAAAGTAATTAAAAAAAAATTATTCAATTAAGTATATAAAGATATGGCATGTAATGCCATGGTTAAGTTTTTAATATTAAAAATTAGGCTTTACACAATAAATTCAAAATATGTTAATATTCAGTAGTTTGTAAATACATAACATTGTTCTCAGTAATTATTAATTTTTACAAAATTATTGTGTTGTAATTATGTTGTGTTGACCGTTTTATTGATCTTTCTCGTTTTAATTTGTTATACTATAATAAATTATGTTAAATATTATACTTAGTTATATTGTTATTATGTTTTTTAGATGTAATAAATAACCAAAATTACATGCAGTCTAAATATCTAAATGCTGACTTGACTAATTAGTTGTTTAAACTTGCATGATTTGTCTTTGTGAGATTTTTTTAGACACGATATGGAAGTTAAGTAAGTACTAGTGTTATACGAAAATGTTGTATGGATGAATGTTGCTCGCTTATTGACGGAGGCTATCATGATAGAAAAGTAGAGAGTATATTGGAGATGTAAAAAATATTTTTAAGAAGAACGTCAATATAAGAAAGGTCGCGTCATTCGCAGTCTTCAGCGTCATAAGCAATCATCTCTTCCAAATAGAGATGAACAGTCCCAACATGCGGTTTTAACCCAAAGCTGACTCTGGCGCATTCATGTTAAGTTACGACATCTTCTGTGTTTAGAAGATCACGAATTTTCGCTCATTTGACTTACAATGTTATTTATCTTGTATTATTGTTTGATTTTCATATACCATTTGCTATAGAATCGACAAAAGCAGCCAAGGACGTCTGCTGCCAAGAGAATGTCTTCTTTTAACGTAAAGCTGGACAGATTTGTTCGTCCTCAATAATTATTACGTTATCTTAATCAGTCTACTAGTTGAACTCTGATTGACCCGCGCAAAGTTTATACATAGGACATAAGAATTTAATAATTAGTATTCTCATTAAAATAATCTTTGACTTATGCTGGTGTAATATTTTGACATGACAATCGATAATTTGTTTTCGTGAAAAATAGGCTCTTCTAATAATATAGCATAAATGAGTAGTGATTTTTTACATTGCAAAATATACAAGTAATAAAACATAACATAGATGCTAATAAGTACAGAAAAAGTTTCAACATAACATCATTTTACAAATTAAATCTAATTGATTTCAGTTTTAACCTTCATAATATTAGACTATCAAGAAAAATAAACAAACTATGTTCAAAGAAATTTGAAAATATAGTTATCCGACATTAATAAATACGTTGCACTAAAGCAATTGGATTTTACTAATAATATATTTAATTATAATAATAATACAGAAAAAATTGATTTCAGTAACTCAAGAAGGTCATACAAATTTTTAGAAATTATTATAACTTTTATTTATCAGCTTATTTCAGTAGTATTTATTTCATGGTTTATAAGTAGTTAAATACTTTCTAGGTCCATCCCTTATTCGGTATTTGAGTACCAACTTTATCTTTTTAAATAGCAACATACATATGTTAGTTGATTAAATATACGAATATTGTGTAACTAACAAAATGATTGGTCGATAACAACATTTGAACCAGTATTTTGGAAGTTATACACTTTCATCCTAAAGACGAAAAGGAATGCACTCGAGAATTGCCTAGTGATAAAAATTACATAATCTGCACCTCACCACCAGTCTACATTTAAAAAATATTAAAAACTTCTAAAAATTCTGGTTAAATGCTGTTATCGACTAATAATTTTCTTAGTTGGAATGTTTTATAATAAATGAGCAAGTTAAATATGTATGTTGTTATTTAAAAATATAAAGTTCGTATCCTTTAATACATAAGATCTGGAAAAAATTTATCCGATTTAAATCAAACTACTACTAAGGTAAGTCAAAAATATTTCTTAAAATTATTATTTTAAAAGACATTCTATACCATAAAATCATCCCATCATTATATTTCCAAATGGCAACTCCAATTTGTTTTATATCTTCACATTGATTCACTTGAAAAAAATTATTTGATGTGAAAAAAATTTTCGAATGTTACCTTTTTTGTATAATACTCAAATACAACCTAACCCACCAAGTATTTATTGTAACCGTTATACGGAAGGCGCAAATTATAATCTTTGTTTATGTAGATAGTCTTATTATTTTAAGTTATACTTTTATTTTTTATTTAATACAGATTATTAAAAAAAGGATGTATATTAACGGTTTCGTTCTTTCGATAAAATTTCTGGGGAGTTTTCAGATCTGCTTTCGCGTTCAAAGTGATCAAAAAGTGATTTATTCCATAAATTTATTAGAGTTGGATTTTTGACCAGTCAAAAACATTTCTGTCAATTGACTAGATTTTTACGTGTTAAATGGTCAAGTTCAGTAAAAAAATATATATTTATTAATCAAACTATCATTTTTATTTTATTCAAAGTTTAGGATGAACAAGTAGTTATTTTTCCAACTTATGGTATTAAGTTAGATATAAAAAATAAACTTGAATTATAATTTATATGTTACTTAGTTTTAATAGTACCTCAATTAAGATAATAGTTTTTTAAATTATAATAAAAAAAAATTAAGTACCCAGCTTTATCAAAAATTAAAACAAAACTAATATAAAATAGGGCTCAAAGTGTGAAAAGGCGAAATTGTATGATAAAAACTAAGAAATAAAAATAAACGTGACCAGTCCATAGAAATACAATAAACTAAATACCCAATGTTATGGATCAGTAGCACATATCAGTTTACTACCAAAAAAAAATTTGCTTTTTTCTTTTCACCCTTAACATTAAACAGCTATAATTTTGTAAAACAAACAATATAAAACAATTTATTTGTAACACAAACATTTTTCATTTAAATATATCTGAAAATATAAAAATTTGGGGTTGCAACATAAAAGTCGAAAGTTAACATTAGTCTGGGTATAAAGAATGAAAGTAGAAAATTATTTTTCATATAAAGCAGTTTTACATAAAAAATTTAAATAATGACTACATCTTATATTTGTGAAGATATTTCGTAAAACAAACATAAGAGATTACCCTATTATTCGCTAATTCATTAAATAATATTAGAATTATATAATTGAATACGCTTTATTTTTTTTCAATTGATACAAACTATTCAATTACATTGTAATTTTTAATTGATCAAAAGAATTCAATTTTTAATTAAAAATTATTTCGTAGTATTTCTTCATATAATTTCGAAAAATAACTCCAGAAATTATCTAAATTTAAACAATATTAATAATTATGTATTTAAAATATATCTAATAAATTTGGACAACTTATTAAGCATTATTAATTTATTATAAAAATGTTAGCTTAAAAAATAGAATTAACCGTTATTAATAGTAACTTAGTTACTAATATATAGTTTCTAATAATTCATAATATATCAGCTATTTAACAGATATTGCGCCTTCAAAACAGAAAAAAGTTTAAAGTATTATTAATTGATTATTTTGTTATACAACAAACAATAGAGCTTTATTCTAGTTAAAAAATATATATGAATGAAATAATAGATTCCGTGTGTTTATTGAGTAAGTACTAAATATATTTATTAACACAAATTTATAACAATACATTTTTACTTGTAAAAAATAATAACATATTAAAGAAATTTTTGCTTTTAATAATACCTTCCTGTAGTTAAAATAACTTTAACAATTATGTATTTAAAATATAACTAATAAATTTGGAAAATTTATTGAGATTTATTAATTTGTTAATTATAAATATGTTGGCTTGAAAGATAGAATTCTACAGTTGTTAATAGTACCTTAGTTACTAATACATAGTTTCTAATAATTTATGATATATCAGTTTTTGAACAGATATTGTGCATTCAAAACGAAAAAAATTTTTAAAGTTTTTTAATTGATTATTTTGTTATATAACAAACAGTTAGAGTTTTATTCTAGTTTGAAAAAAATCATGAATGAAATGATACATTTCATTGTTTTATTGTGTAAGTACTATATAATAATAATATAATATAATTATCAATATAAGTTTATCATCGTATTATGTTATACAAGCACTTATTTTCGATACAATACATTTTTACTTGTACAGAATAATAAAATATTATAATAACACATTAAAGAAACTTTTGCTTTTAATGATACCTTCTCGTAGTTTTTACACGTGAAAATATATGGAATAAAATTAGATCAATCCTTATAACGGTTTTCATAATGAGTACAAATTATTAATAATTCTATAGTCTATAAAATCAGTAGTTAAATGTTTTCCAACATAATTTTAAAATATAAGCAATATAAATAATATATAACTCTATAAATAAAAAACATTTATTAATTCATATTGAAATTTTGTTATTTATCGTTACAGTTTTGAGGGCTCTTTTATATGTTATTATCGTTTATACAGTGTAAGTATAATTTTAATCTAACCATGAAGTTTATTCAGGTTTTACAATTATAAAAACAACACATTTTTTAACAGGATTATTTTATACATTATTGATGAGTTAAAGAATTATGTAAATGGCTTTGACAGTGATTTTCTTGAAGAAAATAAATTTGATTTGGAAGTAAAAGAAGATGTAGAACCTAATACTTCAGAAGACTTAAGAAACTATGAATCACTTGTTCAAGTATAATTGCTTATGAAAATTAAATGTATTTTCATTTAATTTTTAACTATTTTATACAGAAACATAGCGATTCTAAGTTGTTGGATGAAGGTGTGAATAACGGTGACACGGTGGCAATGATTCTCAAGTAGTAGATTTCGGTTCAGAAATAATACCAGTTGTGTCTTCTGAGATAGTAAAAACTTGTTTATTTTGTTTTGAAATTCATTAAAATTATGTAATTTTAAATTTATTTTAAAAATTCAATTTATATTTTTTTTAGCAAAATGTCTCCTTATTGGATGAAGGTCTCATAGAAGAGTTTACTGTTGGTTTTGATGAATCACTGATTCTTATTTGAATAATGCACCAAATGTTCCGTCTGAGATAGTAAATGTCTCCATGTTGTCAGATGAAGAACTTAAATGTGTTCATACATTTGGTTTTGAAGATTTACTGGCAAACGATTTTGAATCGAAATATACTTTTTCATTGTTGAGGGAAAAACGTGATTTTTTAACTTGAAAATTAAAAATATTGAGCCAGGAGTTGTGTCGGAAGAATTGGCCTTTGCACTATTTACAAATGTATGTAATAATATTTGCTAATATTTATTATAAAATCAGACAGTAAAACTTTTAAATTGAGTTTTTTTATACTTATATTTAATACATTTTGAAAAAAAAAAATTAATATGTGCTATTGTATATAAACGCACACACCTAGCAACTAAAATTAATTTTTAAAATACTGTATTTTATGAATACATTAGAATGCGAGTTTATTAATTAAAAAAATTTCAAGATTATTTGTGTTAAAATTTTTAGCCAAAGAGAATTTGCTAATATTTTTTTTTTTTTTATTATTAGGTGATGAAAAATGGTATAGGAATGTGTGTAATGAAAGGTAAAACTATTTGTTGTACTAAAAGTAATCTGTTCGCTTGTTCTATTGGTATTTAAAAATTTTACCGGATGTTTTCCTTAACAATACAATTAATTTTTTTTCTGATTTTAATATTTCTAAAATATATGAGCCAAAATTATGTAAACTTGTAAACAATGTTTTCAATTTAAAAATAATTGCAGAATTTCAACAATCAAGTTATACGATTTATTCAAGCATTATACTAGAGAACATTGCTCTAGTGAAATTCATTAAATTTTATACCGATTCAATTTCATTATTCTTGTTTAGGAGAATTCGCTCAATTTCTTAGACAATTTTAATTTATATTTGTACTTTATTTAATAATATTTATAAAATTACTCATTTTAATTATAATTTTGTTTATACAAATTAAGTTTATTTTTATTTTTAAGTGAAAAACCTAACTATTCCTAATTATATGGAAGTAAATTGAAGTTAAAAAAAAATATCAATTTTAATTGTTAATAGTGAATTTATGAATTCAGTAATCGACTTAAGGGTTCTATCCCATAAGTGCGCGCTCTAATAAGAGCCTTTTCTTCCAATTTACTTTATTATGCCTCGGTGCTACGATTAAAACAAATAAATATCTACTCTCGAAGGACCAATGTTTCGTACGAGGCAACTAGACCTTAATACGGCTAGTTGTGCACCGCACTAAAATGCCGTTTTGTCTTAAGTCTCTTTAATTCGCTATTATTGAAACGAGAGTGGGTCACCTGGGGGTGACGGCTATATTTCAAATTTAAAGGGCTACGAGGGGCCTTTAAATACTACTGGCCAGCGAAGCGGCATAAAACAAAATAGTTAACTTCAGTTAAACAAATGAATAATATTAAAAATAATATAAAAAACTCAGCTAAATAGATGAAGTTGTGGAAAGTGATATGTGGACTGTATGAGATCTTGTGGTAATGGTGTCGATCATCTAAGTATCGCGATTCAGAGTGTAGATCCAGGCACGTAATGGCAGATGAGAACAGACGGCGGAAAAGCGACTACGGCAATGAAGTTTTTTAGCGATGGTCGGGGCCCAATCACTGGTGGCGTGCAAGGGCACAAGAACTTTGAGCACAAGGGTCTAATAAACAAATAATAAGAATAACGGCGTACAATGGCCGAACAATTTACCTCTCAAACGAAGGCACTTGCTACAGAAAAGAAAGATGACACATAAAACAAAAAAACTAATTGACTTACCACAATGAACTGTACACGGATGACAATTGACACGGAGGTCATCGATTTGCCGTGCTGTGTGGGCAAGGGGGTGAGTAAAGCAAGACGCTAAAGATCAGCTGTCACAAGATATTATATAATCAATGATGTTAGTAACAACTGGTCTACTAGATCTTTACTAAAGGCGTTCTGTACCAAACAAATTTTATGCTATAAATCGATAGTATTTAGTTAAAAACAAAATATAGTATCGCTTATACATAATGTTATTAATTTTTAAAATTAAATTTGTTGAATATTTGCCTTTAAAGAGTCAACGAAATTGACCAAAAATTAACAAATTATACTACAAATGTTAATTATTGAATTTCATATGCTGTTATAGACCTAAATAATATAATACTAAAACTATAACTTATGCCCAGAATTTATGAAATCGAACTACTATTAAAATTATAATTCCATAGTGTATAGTAGGTTAGTTAACTTTAAATGCCACTTAATACATTTCACAACTCAATTAAAAGCACGTGTGAAGCGTAAAAACAGTAAACGTAACGTATTGTATTGAATGATTAAAATCAAAATCATTCAAGTATATTAGAAAATACACGAAGAATATGAAGGTATGTCGACATATCTTCGGCACTGAGTATTTAATGTGATTGTGATAGTAAAATTCAAATACCACAGTGTATAGGTACTCTTATGTCAGAAATGATTTATTGTATAAAATTTCTGCTAATACTTGTGGTTTTCAAGTGCTTTATAGAATGACTGTTTTATGTATAGTGTCAAGGACCTAATACTAGTAATGGAAACAATTATCTCATTTTACTTTTGTACTATATTAAAATAGAGAGACTTCAAACAATATCGCCTTCGTCGTAGATTTTTTAAATAATCTATGAAAAATATAAATAATTTATACTAGTAAATTTTATACAACAAAAAAATTAAAAAGTTGTTAGTGTTAAGTCGAATTAAAATTCTATACATCTAATAGTGATTAAATGACATTGAGTTTAAATAAAATTTAGTGGTAATGCATTACAACGTATTTTATCAGAAAGTAAAGATAATCGCTTTTGATCAAGTTAATTTTACATAATAACAACAAAAATAATCTGCAATGATAATAATTATTTTATTCGTGACTGTAGTGCTTTATGGCCATGTAATTAAAAAATATACGATAAATCGTTGTCTCTTTAGTAATATACAGCTTTTGCGTAATAATTTATTACATACACAGTTTGGCGTTCCTAACATGGCAAATCATATTAGTTATGTTCTTTCAAAATCTAATCACTAGGAACTCGAACAAGAAAAAATAATTTGTTAAACGTCTGCTTGTATGTTTATGGAAATATTATGGCTATTGTAGTCATTTATGGATTTTTTCAAATTCTTATATCTAAAAAGCAAGAATTTACTACACTTTCTTGAACTTTATACAAATGAGAACATATAATAGACTATTCAATTTTTAATTATTGTTTAATTGTTTAACGTTTGAATTTTGTATCATACATCGCTCAGCAAAATTAATATCTTTTTTTATAATATTTTATTTATAATTTTTAAATTAATATCGCTAACAGTATTCAAAAAGACCAAATATTGATTATTTTTTTAATTACAGTCCAATAATTTCAACTGTCTTTAATCAATTATAGTAAGAGCTAAGTCGTTGTTAATCGTTCTTCTTTTTTAATTGAGAAAAAATGTTTCAACGCTTTTCAAAGTTCATTTATTTTATATTGAAATAATAAAATATAAAACTATGTATTATAAAAATAATGAACTAAAATAGATTGTAATTGATTATATAATTATACTAATAAAATGATGATATGAAAATTAAAAAAAATACATATATTATCTAATGAAATATTTGGGTATGATTTATGGTAAATCCGTAAAAATAATTCTATGCATTTTTTCTTTTATTATTAAAATAAATAAACAATATCAATAGGGTTTATTAATATTGGCATAAATGAAAAATAGTAAAAAAAAAAAGATTTTGAAAAACTAGTTTATTTGTACCTTTTAATTAATTAACTAACTTTCGTAATAAAGTAACCTTCTAGGGATCCTTAGTTCTAAGTAGTTATTCATGATAAAAAATCTAATAGTCATATTATATAGTAGCTTTTAAAATTAACTAGCTCAAGGCATATTTTTTTTAATTGCGTTTACAATCGATCACATGGATTTCTCTTTCGACCGAAGATTTACCAGTAACAATGTAATGAGTATTATCGTATTGCTAACTTTATCTGTAAAGATCTCAAGCATTTTATAATTTAAACGATTTAATGGCTTTAAATTGATTATAAATACTATCGATTTTTACAAAAAGTGATATTAAATGATTTATGGGATCTATATCAGAAAAACAACTACTCGTGTTTATCTTAAATTTTAAGCAGATATCGTATATTTTATAACTAGTAATAAAATATTAACGATTTTAAATGTGAACGACATGGCTTGGTTAGTGGTTAGATCGCCGCAAACAAAAATGTTATTATCTGCACTGAATATCGCAAGCCACTGCACTACTATTGTTTCTCTTGCTGCTGATTTCACTTGATCTCTCTGTCTCTAAAATAACAGCATATATTTCTATCATAATTTTGTTTAATTTCCATGTATACTAATTATATGCATTGTTCAATTCTATCAGAAAACATGTACCGACGCCCAATGGCCTAGAGAATAATTATGCTAACAAAAAAAGTACACTTGCTTATGTTACACATAATATCATAAAAAAAATTCAAATAATAAAAATAATTCTACTATTTATCTTGTATGTGACAACAGCATAAAGTATAAATTTTAAGGTGACTAAATAACTTTCCTCTTATCCTAAAACATATTTTGTAAAAAATTGTCTAGATTTTTGGAGAGCTTAATAGTCCCTAGCTCTCGTATTTGTACCTATGGTAACAAAATTTATCTCTAGAAAACATTTTTGGATTATCACTCCCACACAAAAATTAAAACCAAAAGGTTCTATCTCTTATACATTGAATGTCCAATGAATATTATGCAGATGATAGAAGTTTAAAGTTTACTCGGCATAATATCGAATTGTTACAAAAAAATAAAATTTAGATAAGATCACACATTATATTGAATATTAAGTTCTCTTTTAAAATAATTTTTTTCACTTCTCGCTATTATTTTAATTTTGAGACAGCAAAAAACTCATTACAGTCGGGACCTAGTTTAGTGAGGATTTAGTGTAATAGCTAATATAGATTGATTTATGGAAGTGATTAACATTTCTATCTTAAAATGCTACGATGCGATTGTGCATAAAAAAAAGATAATAAAATAATAGAAATGTGAAATAAAAATTTAAGACTTGTGCAGTCTATATTCATATAAATTTTGCAATACTATTATAAAATCTGTAGCTAGAAAAATACTTAAACAACAAATGAAATAACTTTTAATATAAATCTGCTATAAATATAGTGAAATTATATATAATTATATCGTAAACGCCAATATTACTGACTTAACTGCAATGAATAGATATTTTAGTAAAATTACATGTGTTGTCCAAGAAATATCTATCATTTGTCCTTTTCCTCGGGGATAAAACATAGTATAAAGCAGTTGGGCTATTATTTTCGCGCCTAGTGTAAGCGATAAGAAATTATATGATAACCATACCGCGCTTTTTGTCGTGATCAGGCGGTCGTAATATGTACAAAGAAGATACTTCCAATTATATAGTGGGTACAAAATCGTTTTCTCCGGGCGTACATCGGTAGTACTATGACTTATGTAATTACACGAGTGGTTAAAGATGCAATTACATATTCTTCGGTTACATATTGCATAAGAAGAGGATTATTTTACAATTGTGGAGACAACAATCATAGATCGTAAACATTTATAAATTAAAATAGAACGTTGATATCCAACGGATAAAGACATTTTGTAAAT